ATGTATAGTGCTTGGAAACCCTAAGGACAATTATGACATGGCAAGCGAGTATTTCGTACTTCAATTTTATGGCTTCATGTCACTCACAAGTTAGTTTGATGTTACGTACATTATTAACATTACAGAATCCACATATTCCTGCCAGTTTTAATATGTATTTTGTAATCAACAAGTGTGTAACACCGGTCAAAGTTTGACACTTCTCTGGCCATTATCTCCGTAACTGTTCAACTTTGGACATAGGTGTTTTGGGTTATATCGGCATACTTTAACATAAGGAACACCCTCCTGAAGTTTGGTCCATTCCTCCTGGGACACCCTGTATATTAATGTTTATGTTTTACCGTAGGAGACAGGAAGGCAACATTTTCTGAACTAAATGATAGCAACATTCCCCAATTTATGTGCTTTTAATTTCTTTGTAACTGCAATATTGATTAAGAGTGTCATTGGCCGCGCCATAGCTCAAGCAGTTAGTTGCTGGCTTCCCGCCACGGCATCCCAGGTTCGATTCCGGGTCTGATCAAGTGGGATTTGTGGTGGATAAAGTGGCACTGTGGCAGGTTTTCTCTGAGTACTTCGGTTTCCCCTTCCAATCTTCATTCCACCAATTGCTCCACAATCACCCTCACCTATCATCTGGGGCTGGTACAATAGGCCAGAAGTGGCCGCAGTACAAGGGACTTAGTCCCACCCCACTAGCAATAAAAAAAAGAGTGTCATTCCCAAATATTTTAAGTTTGCCACATTTTCAAAGACCTGTTAGATATCTTTATATTACAGTTTTGTCCTGCATCCTGGTGATGAAACATATATTTAGTTTTCTTTGTATTTACTTCCAGCCCAACTGCCTTTGTAGTGTCTAGCAGAGCTTCTGCGTTTTTATTGTAATTACATTTTCCCCTAATAAATTAACATCAAAGCACAGACCACAATCTTATATTCCTATCCATTGTCAGTCTACTGGCTTTCTTCAGTCATCCTAATGGTGTATTCTAAAGCATGATTGAAAATCAGTAGCAATAAAGCATCTCCTTATTTAAAATTATTCTGAATATACAGAAGAATATACAGTAAGAATATTCTTACCAGGGGGCATGTGGTAGCGTACTTGGTTGAGGCACTATGCTGCAAGGTGGAAGGTTGTGGGTTCAAGTCCTGATGAGGTCATTGGATTTTTTTCAATTCACCTAATCCTTCCAGCCGCACTAGACCCTGGGATCTACTCAGCCTCTAACAGAAATAAGTACCAGGAATTAATTAAATAATTTTCCTGGGGAGTAAAGCGTGGCCAGCACATAAGGCTGACAACCTTACCGCCATCTTCGAGCCGATTGTCTAGATAATGTGGGACCCTCAGCGTCTCACAACCCTACGGGCCTTCATGGCCTGTTACAAGGATAGCTTTACTTTTTTTTTTCTATTCTTACTAGATAAAATGTTTACCTATACAGACTTTACTGTAGTTTTCATTTAAACATTTTAATTAGCATAAGTAGTTTCATGAGTATACCAAACTTAGTATGAATTTATACAGTGCTTTCTTCAAAATTGAATCACAGTCTTCTGTGAAGTCTAAAATACCTCATGTGGCCTGGAATGCATAAGGATAATGGTGGGAAAGCCAAAAGAAAACAGCAGAAATATGCAACAGCATGGAAATATATTGACTTAATGATCTAGTGCAGTGTAACATTTTCAAAAGGTGAGTGATTGCCTGAAGACGGCCAGGTGGGCTGAAACATGTAGCAATTGATGCGATTTTAATGTTATTTTAAATTAAAGAGAGATTGTGAACATTTTTAAGTTGCATTAAAGATGGGGGTCAGGGAGCAAATGATCAGTATGGATCTTAGAGAGACAGGATAGGGTGGTATGGACCGGATCAATCTGACTCAGGATACGGACCAGTGAAGGGCTCTTGTTAACACGGTAATGAACCTTCAGGTTCCATAAAATTCTGGGAAGTTCTTGAGTAGCTGTACAATTGCTGGCTTCTCAAGAAGGGCTTCGCTCCATGAAGGTAGTTGTCACTCAGTCAGTCAGTCAGTCCTACTTTTACCCCAGTACCTGACAAATGCAGAAAATTTAATCACTCATAATCCACAGTGCAATCCCCAACACATAAGGAGTTAGCCTTGAGAGAAGAATATTTAATAAAAATTTGTAAGATGTTGGTAACATAAACCCAGCTTTGATTTACTGTTTTAGTATTGACAGTTTTTCCAGAATATAATAACTGAGTACACTACAAACAAACCGTTTTGTGGTTCACATGTCACAAACCTTAATTTGCAAACTTTCAATATTTGTTAATATTTATATTACTATAGTTCAATGTACACTATAGCATAAAAATGTTTTCTTATTCACATTGCAGTATCTTCTAGTATTCACAGTTTATAATACACATCACATAAACGTCAGTGTCATTGTTAAAAAACATTAAAGTGTCGTTCAAATATTAAGGTGTATTTTTATTTTCCTGAAAATAATGGTCTTGTTGTTTTATAATTCTAGGAAAGCATTCAATGGACTTCATCTTAAACATCAACCTTCTTCACATTTCTCCATTTAGATGCACTGAAGGTCTGTTTCACAACACTGGTCAAGTTCTCAAACATGGTGGCCTACTTATCACATATGGCCCATATGCATTCCATGGGAAGATTTCACCAGCGTCAAATGTCCGTTTTAATTCAATGTTGCAATCCCAGAATCCTGAATGGGGTTTACGGGATATAGATCAATTGGCAACATTGGCGGCTTCTGCTGGTATACATTTGCTTGAAGTTGTTCCATTGCCATCTAATAACCACTGTCTCATCTGGAAGAAGGAATAAAATGGAACAACAAATGGAGAATTTTAAGGCTACAGTATGTTTCATGTTCCTAAAAAAAAGACATTCTTACTGGCTGCCACAGATGTCAGCAGTATTCCTACAACATCTGTGCTTTTAAAGAAATACCTTTTTCACTTCAGATTGCACAGCTATCAGTTGGAATAGATTTATTTTTAAATTTATTATTAATAGTATTATTTATTTATTTATTTATTTATTTCTGATATAGAGCCACCTTTTTACATAATAAAGTATTTAGAGAACATGGAACAGAGTACAGTGCATTCTCAGATCAATGGAGTGATGATCATATGTACGTGCTGTTGGCTGCTCTTACCTCAGAAAGTGCTCCTCTTATCCACTGGAGAAACTGAATGAACTTCAGAGCTGTTCTAGAGATTATAGAGATGAGAAACTGTCCTTACTGGGAAACAAACTTGTCTCTTAACCAGTATTTTACTGGGAATCAAACTTGTCTCATAACCAGTATTTTATGGCTGCTCTACTAATGGAATTGCCATGTTTCTGTTGTGAATGATGTTACAATTTCTGCCTCTGCCACCACACACCACTGTCTGCTACTGCTGCTGATGCTATTGCTGTTGTTATTGTCATCAGCGTTATTCACATCACAAATAATTACTCTCAGTATTAATAAAACTGAAAGACAGTTTCCTAAAGACTGAATTAAAGTGAAGCTACAAACTGAACTTTTAACTTAACTAAATGTATAACTATTTTCTCATGAAGAACCTACCCAATAAAGAAAAGTGTATGTTGTTCCAGCCTATCTTTCCTCTCGGGAAGCTTCTCACTTATCTTTAGTCAGTATCATAGGGTTACTCCTCTAAATCAGTTGGTAATACTCAGATCTCAAGGGTATATATCAAACAGGAGTGGTGTTCATTTGTTACTTAAGAGAGGCAAGGTGGCAGGAGTGATGGTCAAGTCAGGGTGTAGTACCATAACAGAATTAGTAAGATATGGGTGGGAATTCTGAAGGATTTATTCATTTTTGAATAATTTGATTTGTATCAGTTAGAGATATACTCTAATTTCCTAATGACATGTAATGGTGCTGGTGGCAGTATGAATAGTAGTTGTGTAGACCTTCACAAGGAATTCTAAACTCTGTCTTAGAACTTTGAGTCTAAAAGACAGTTACGGTTGCTCACAAAATCACTCTGCATTATTAGTATTCTTATAAGTGAATTGTTTTAAAGTCATGTCAACAGCTATGGCTCTTTGTGTCTAGTATTATTATATATGCATATTGTATACATTGGTTTGTTACTATTTTCTTGTATTGCAATAAAGACATATTAATAATAGTTGCTGTTGTGTCTTGGCTTTCTTAATAAACCTAAACAGTTTTTTCAGCCATTGTGTGTTGTAATGGAGTTACAGTTCTTGAAAATGTATTATTCCACACTAAACTTGGTCTGTATTGTTTAAACAATATTGCATACAATTTATTCATCATTATAGCATGCCATTGTTCTGAATAAATCTCAGTTATTTAGTTCAGTGGTCTAGTGGTAAACATGAATATGTACTTTGTTGGTTATTAGGTTCTCACAGTGGTCACTGAAAGAATAGTGTCACGTTTTGGGTGTATAACACGACAAATAACTTCACGCCGTATTTGGTATGGCAAATTTTATTTCACATTCGCACTTACAATCACCCAAATTACAGATTCACAATTACTGCTATCTGCAGTATCACAAATACTACACTCCATATGCCAGAATGCAACTGACTGGTTGCTGGCTAACTCGGAACTAACTCGGAGGTAGCTCGAGGACTAACTGTGAATAGCCTTCACTGCTCCTTATGTAGCCTCGTTCGGACAATACAGAAAACGGCCACGTAATAGGCACCACTGTTGTCTGGTGCCGTCGTGCTAGTAACGCTGTGTACCGCTGTTACTACCGTCGTCTCTCGCAACCACTGTTTACCCGCGCTGCCTAGCAACCGCGGTACCCCTTGGTGACGTCACCGCTGTTGACTCGCGTTGCATAGCTACCAGAATGCTGGGACTCTGCTAACATCGGCTCCGCTCGGCTCACTTCGGCTGGCGGGGGGGGGGGCGTCATCCATAGCTCAACATGTCACAATAGTATCTTCTAGGATGTAAGACCATGTAGTCTGGTAGAAGTCCACCAAAATGTCAATGAACTTTTACTGGACCACACTTTTTCACATCCCATAAGACAGTACTCTTCAAGGTATACTCAATTTTTTCCTTGTTTCTTTCAAACCACACTTTTACTCTGAATGCTGTATATGAGAGGGATTGTATTTTCTTCTCAATAGGACATAAGTAATAGAACATGTCTAAAATTATTTTCAGCAATGAGAGTTTCCTTTACACCTACATAAATGAAAGAATGATTAAAGGTATTCTAAAAATTGTGTAACATTTAAATCTGTGACATGTTAACATATCCACATGAAACACTGGGATAATCTTTGGATGTATTTTGGTGAAACTGTTACAGGAGATTTGTACAGAAACTTGTTGGTTAAATTTAATGTTGAGCATACTGATCCATCACATTACTGATGTGAGATGAAATATCACTATCACCCCTCTCAGCTTAAAACCATTTATCTGATAGCAATGAAATTTGGTATCATTAGCTTACACTGAAAGATTTTCAGTTGTGCCCCTCTGTTAATAATGTGAATAAAAGAGAATGAAAGTTCCTGAAACATCATTTTCAACTCTTTAAAATATTTCTCCCATTTTGAATGAATTCATTATGATAATTAAGAGCAAAAGGTGTCTACTCAACAGCTGGTACTGTTACCGACCATAAATGTTCGTTGCCATAGATATATTTATTTATATCAAACAATTTTACAAGCATCACTTTATTCTCTTCTGTTTGAAAATGATATAGGAATTTTAATAGGGGGGCATGCAGTAGCGTAGTTGGTTGAGGCACTATGCTACAAGCCGGAAGGTCGTGGGATCAAATCCTGACGAGGTGGATTTTTTCAATTTACCTAATCCTTCCGGCCGCAATATTGCCCTGGGGTTGACTCAGCCTCTAACAGAAATGAGTACCAGGAATATTCTTGGAATATTCTTGGGGGTAAAGGGCAGTTGGCGCATAAGGTTGACAACCTTACCACCATCTATGAGCCAATTGTCTAGAAAATGTGGGAACCTCAACATCTCACAACACTATTGGCCCCACGGCCTGTTACAGGGATGCCTTTACTTGTTTTTGTTATAGGAATTTTAACACTTTGTGGACCGGCAATTTAAATATTTAAATCACCCTGGGGACCGTCATTTTTATACCTACTACCCTAACTTGTACACTGTTCACTTGAAAAATTAATATAAAATCTCCTAATTAATTTTATGAACTAAAATTTTTGGAGAACCCTTACCAATGCTCTTAGAAGTGCTTGAGAGTGATATTTCTGGAAACATTCCACTTTGTGAAGTGGCATTACACACTTGCATACGTAGACAGTCATAGTCCTTTTTTTGTAAACTGCACAAACACGCATTGCCTAGAAGGATGCTTCCCTTTGGAACGTTCACTCTTCACAATTTTCGAGTATGTTTCCATCACCCGGGGGTGTCCACATGAGGCCTGTGTGGGTGGGAATTGATGGGCTAGGTCGCACTAAGTCTGTCTGACTCTGGTTCTGCCACCACCATCTGGTCTGTAGCCCAAGCCTTTGCCACATTCATCAGAAATGCTTTGTATTTCAATTTTGAATCAGGGTTTAGATTTTTGTAAACAAAAAATGAATTGAAAATGGCACAATTTATAAGCCACAAGGCAACTCTCACTTTTATTATCTGTGGCCACAATTCTTTGTTGACCCCTGTCCCTTCCACTCTGTGAATCACTAATCACTACTCCTCCACAAGGCATGTCAGATAGCCCATTGGAAAACAAATCAGAGAGATCGCTTTGCCTTCAACCACTTTTGTCCTTGAAACATATTCCCCTCTACTAACTTCCTGCCTGGTACATAAACAGCTGGAAGGGGCAAAGTTTATTTTCTTTTGGAGTAGGGACCCTAGCCAGCCAGGTCAAGTTACTGAATACCTAGCATACATTCCAAAGATTTATTATGCAGTATTCATTGCAGTTGCATGGCGCCAGAGCAAGGTATAGTGTGTTACAACCTAATTTATCCTAAAAGCCTGATATCATGCGACTAGTCCACCATGTTTAAAAGCGAAAAGCCTGATATCATGCGTCCGGTCTGCAAAGTGTTAATATGCTTTGTAGTTTTATTCTTATAATTTGAGAATATGTTTTTAACATCACTGATTATCTTCACTTTACAGTTAACTAAAGCTGTTTTGGATTTACTCATATGTAACAAAACATACCTTAAAGTTTACAGTACTTAATAATATAACTGTTACAGAAAATGATATGTTAGTATATTCTGTTGGGGAACATACAGAAGGAAGGTAATAATAGTGATCACAAAAATATAGACTTAAACAGAATTGCAATGTCTTGAATCATGTTGGTCAACTTCTACCAGACAATATAGTGTTACATCCCAGAAGATGGTGTTCTTCATGGTCATGACCATGAGAACCTCAAACCTAATATAAAGACTTGAGTTGTTTAGTAATTTCTGCACTCTGTATGGGAATATTTGTAAAATGGCTTCAGTTATGACAAATTAATACATCAAATATATACATTCAGATAGAAACTTCTTAGAAACTATATGCATGTAAAATAATACTGTATGCTCTATGAGAATATTTAGAAGATTACCATTTGCTGTGTACAGTAATTCATGGCAGACAGATTAATGTCCGTCCTTGATGAATCTGGTATTGGACCTTGTCACTAGATGTAGCCACCTCTGCCTGAACTGACAGCACTGCACACACAAATGTGAGGCCTACTCCAGCTACTGCGCTGTAGAAAGCCCAGCCTATATGAACACACCATGGCACTTTATCTGTTATAGTTACATGAAGTCAAATCAGATGTTAAATCATTTCATTATCCAGACTCTGCTGTAATCTGCTGCTTTCAAGGTCTGGTACATTGAACTGTGTGACAATTGGTGGATTGTATTTGTTGCTACACCTCATTTTTGCAAGTCTTATAGACATTAAAATGGTAAAATGACTTTAGTGCCAAACTGAGTAGGAATTGGGAGAGGTCATGGTGATCATATCTTACAAGATACTGCCCTCTCTAGTAGGATCCAAATAACACCATGAAATCCATAGTCAAATTTTCATGGAATTCATACTGTGGGAACATCCTACATTATCATGCATTTCTGCAACGCTCGCTCTTCACATCACTTTTCACCATCACGCGCGCTAACCAATCAGATTGCTTCAAACATTCGTATTTATACTACGATCTCTGCTAGCCTGCATCTACATCATTACGCGCGCTAGCCAATCAATTCTTCCTCCTCAATTTCGAGTTTCGCTCCGCCCCACCGAGCAGTGTATAAAAAGGGGCAGCTCCAACGCCGAGTATTCAGTTCTTCAGTTCATCAGTTGACTTCATTCTACGGTCAAGCAACACCAGCCAGCAGGCTTCGTCACCAGCGCTCGGTCTTTGGAGGCATTGGCAGGCTGCGCCAGGCACGACTGCCTCGGCCCTCCGGCGCTCTCACACCTGACTCACTGGGACACCGCGCCTGGACTCGCCGGTGGTCGTGTTACTGTCCGACCCACTGGGCATCTGGCGTAGCCACTGCCTCATGACTCCTACGACCGCGCTCAACGACTAGCCTTTCACCAGCAGACACCGCGCTGCGATCAAGCAACCTCCAACTCACGCCGCCGCGCGGCAACCAAGCAACCTCCAGCCATTCACCGTAACTAGCCTTTCTTCTTAGTGGCGCGCGCCGCGCTACCTCACCAGTCAAGCATCTCAGGAGCCACGGTCCTTTTCAGGGCCAACAAACTGTTCCGAAGAAGTGGGTTGTCAGCGGAGTAATGACAAGACTACACATCAAGAGCCCCACAATACTACTACTTCCAAATGTGAGTCAGATGCCTTACCACTGGATTAACTTGTGTGATAACTGTAAAAAATTTGCAGTTTTTACATAGAAATGAAGTGGAGGTTGACCTACTGATTATAATGCACTTAAGTTGTTCTTAACACATTAGTTATAAACTGATTGTACAGTGGCATCTCCATTTAATGTTTCTCAGTTTAATATTTCTATTCATTTAACATTCATTTTCAGTAATTACAAGTCCATGATCATAGGGTCAGATTTGTTTCATTCAAGATTTTTCTCAGCTTAGTGTACCAATCCACTGTTCTCAAAAGAAACATGAAGTGCGTGTGTGATACAAACTAACTTCTGTACTGTGTAACCAGCACTGTTCAAGGTTAGGGTTGCTGCCCGCAGATTTAAAGACTCAGGATGTGATAATGTGCTGCCTGCATAATAAATCTGTATTATCCCATTTCTATAAATCATTCATTATTATGTAGATTACCAAAATTCTTCATTCCATAGCAAATCTGAGTCTAAATAGGGTGGCTTCCCAAGCTATTGTTTACTTTTTGAGTCTAGAACTGAAATTAATTCAAAGCAAGAAATTCATACAGAACATTTTATTTCTTCTAATAATTTTCAGTATTACATACGAGGGGGTACCCAAAAGAAACCGAACTTATTTTTTTTTTAACTTATTTATTCAAATTTTAAGCACAAACCTTCAATCCCCTTCAAAGTACTCTCCACTTACACTAATACACTTGTCTAGTCTTTTATTCCATTTTTCAAAACATTGTCTAAATTCATCTTTTGAGATGCTTGACAGCGCCTCCGTCGTTTTTTTTTTCTTCACCTCAGCAACATCAGCAAAACGCTGAAAAAAAGTTTTGATCATTTCGGGACTCTTCTTTCAAAGCACAGCATGCTTCCAAGCGACCTTGTTTTTGTTCAGCAGTCAGCAGTCGTGGCACGAATTTCGCAGCCATCCTTTTCATTCCCAAATCTTGTCAAAATTCGCTGAACTGAGCTCCAAGTCACTCCCGACAGCTCCACAATTTCTTCAATGGTCCATCGTCGATCTTCCTTGATGATTTCACGAATTTTTTCAACATTTTCATGTGTTCGGGCCATTGCAAAAATGACGATCACACAAAACAGTTGTCACTCTAAACTCTGCCGAAACTAGTCCTTACCTTCTGAAGCAACGGTAGTCGGCTTATCAACTCAGGAATGTTAGCTCTATGCGCTCATAGCGGCAAAACGCGGTACTACAAAAGCTCTGCCCAGTTTCTTTTGGGTACCCCATCGTATGCCTAGCTGCTCAGAGCATCAGAACTACTTCTTAGCCTGTCTGCTATACTGTATTAAGGGGAACAATCTGTGGTGGCCCAGGTTCGATCCTGGGTGTGGTCAAGTGGGATTTGTGGTGGACAAAGTGGCACTTGTTCAAATTTTCTGTTAAGATCTGCTGGCAAACCCCATAACTGATCGAAACGGTGTCTGTGAGCTCATGGATTGTTCTGCGATGGTCTTCATGGATGAGTTCTCGAATTTTTTCAATATTTTCTGTCTTTTTGTTCATGCTTGGTCACCCTGAACATTCATCATCTTCAAGTGACAGTTGACTAGCCTTGAAACATGAATAACATTCAAAAACTATTTTCTGGCTTAAAGAATGTTCTCCAAAAGCCTCACGAAGCTTATAAATGGTTTTGGTAGCAGATATGCCAAGACATGATGCAGACACATTGCTCGATTTTGCCATTCATCACAGACAAAATGAAACATGAAATTGAAAAAGCATTCATGTAAAAACGTGTTTTCACAGCATGGTATCACATGGCAGACTGATGCAGTAGGATTGCAGAAGTGTCCCCTTGGCCTCCCCTTATCTTCTTTCACCGAGGCAATTACAAAAATAACAGCCCAGGAACTTTCCTATAACATCTTATATGTGAAATTAATATGGTAGATTGTAAGTGTATGTAAATAACTTGCATAACATATATGTCTATGTTTAAATCATAAATAAGGTAGTGGAGTGAATCAAGATGTTATGTCTGATGAAACATAGTACAAATATAGATCACCAGGTTGTATAATTTTTAGTTCATTGGCTCTTTTACTTATGGAGACATTTAACAGATAAAGAAGTCAAAATTTTTTTGCAGAACTTCATTTTGTACAGTAAATGTATTGGAAAGGAAATTACTTACCAAGATGGCATTCAGCTGGGAAGAAGGGTGCAGCATCATGCCCACACAGCTTCTGCACCCGGTGGGCTCCCCAGCCAGCTGGATACACGACCAGCCCAAGGATGTAGAATATACCTATTACAGAACAGGAAATGTTTAAACTTTCACTCCTGTTTTGTTAAGCCTTTGACCATCATGCCCAGAATATTCCAGGTTGGTGCAGATGTCGGCATGTCTTTTTACCTGGGATTTGTTTGTCTTTCACAAGCATTAGCCCATATAACACTGCAGTGAACAGATGGAAGAAGGAGAAAGAAATATGGTGTGAGTTCTTCTCCGCAGGAGCTATGATGAATAGAGACTGGACACAGCCAAACAGTTGTTTGCCTCTTATTATGCATTCCACCACATGATTTTGCAATCAAAGGGCTGACATCCCACAAATGAAAACTGCCCCTGTAAGCACTGTGATTCAGAATGTGGGAGGTGGGTTGCAAATGAAGGAGTAAGTCGTTGACCACATATGCAGATGAAAATTAATGTACACTATGCATAATTCAGTACTGTTTTACATCTGTGTCTGTAAATTAATCAGTGTTTTAAAATGCTGATGATGAGACCCATATGATCAACTACAAACTCTGCATACTCCATATTTCAACAAACATTTGGAAGTATCTGTACATTTGTTCCTTTTCTCATTGAGTTAGTGAGCTAAGAAATGCTCAGCAGTCAAGAGGTCAAGGCCTACTGTACAGATATTCAGACTGGATACCTGCTATGGTCTGTGCAGCTCCAGACACTGTAAAGATGCTCTTCCTAAAGATGCTTTGCACACAACAACTCAGCACTGAGCTTAGCACTGTTGCAGCCATGATTGATAACCCTATACACAGTAGTACAAGTGCTGCCTTCCACCAACCAGGGAAAACTTCTGAGTCTGTGGCTAGACCATGAAGAGAAAATGGCCCACAGTGTTGTCTTCCATGTGATCTTGTGCAGCGGTTGTAAAGCCCTACTGATGGGGAATACATCATGGTTGAGTTATCTGAAACACAAGGAAATTTCATATAACTGGTATCTTCAGATAATGAACCAAACCACTGAGAGCAGAGTAATTGGTCTTATATATGTGAAGTTGCCTATTAGAAGCAATGAAATATAAGTACATACATACATACATAGATACATAATTTCACAGATCCATTGTCCGGGAACCGGGCTGGATATTGAATTCGTCAGCAAAATGCAAACTGAATAGGTTTTATAAATAGAACCTAAAAAGTGAAATAAAATTAATAGTGAAATCTTATTTCTTGAGGTAATAGAGAATGTATATAGGAATGGTGGTCTTTTCCAGTTTTGAAAAACTATGATAATGTTCTTAATTTTAGAGTGTACAGATCACATATATGTCACTGGAGAGAAGACAGGTTCTGAAGAATGTGATGGTCACTATCATATACATGAGCTGAAAATTGTTGTCTTTTGGGATGTGACACCATGCAGTCTAGTAGATGTTTAGTGACATTTCTGAGGAACATGATTTCCCCATCTTCAAGGTGCATGTCTTCTACTCTATAGATGAGCTAGTACAGTCTGTAAACATCTACCAGACCATATGGTGTCTCATCCCAGAAGACATTAATCTTCATAGAATTGCCATGAGACCCCCAAATCTCGCTGTATATGAGTTCCTTTTCAAAAGGTCCCAGTATTGACCTGCTAACAACAGCTACTCTGTGTACAAATTTGAGTTTATGGCATATATAAATAATAAAGTAAAATCAACAATTCAGTCACTGTAGCTTACACTTTGTGTTCATAATCAATGACCTACCTGAAGGTTTAAGCCTAGGTGGTCCAATGAGCCACTTTGGAGTCAGTATGGCTGACAGAACTGCCACTGTGGCCACAACTGTGAGGAGTGTCCACAGCAAGCTGCGTGCAGTCACAATCACGTAACACATCTGTATTGATCCTGCAATGACAGAATAAGCAGTCAGTGGGACATAAATCATGGTGTGATCACACACACACACAGGCAAGAGACAGAGGAAGCAAGGAAACATTGTACAAGACTTACATTGCTTTAACTGGAAATGCAGACATTGTAACTTGATATTTATTCTACTGCCTTTTAAATTGTTCTGTTTGCTTTTTTGTATTAATATTAACCAGTGACATGGGTTACAGAACCTGACTAGACCTTATCAGCCATCTTGAATAGATCTACATCAACACATTTTCTTTCAATACATTATGTTCTGCAACTATATTCCCATTATTTTGTTCCATAATATCACATTGCTAATTGTTGATTTAGAAACTTAATTTAATACAGAAGTAGCAGACGTGCATGGTCTATACCAAATTTCACATGTCTGTCTCCAGTGCTTCTTTGGTTATCGTTGTCAGACTGAAAGCTAAATATAGATTTCATGCAGCCACCAGTTTCTTGTCTTTTACACACACACACACACACACACACACACACAAGTTCTTAATGAAAGTTCCATATTTTTCAAAGATCTGTTCCCATACACAATTTTATGACCCTATTTTAAGAGGTGTTAATGTTGCTCCAACTTCACAAGTTTGTGTGTCTGTTATTTTACTGAATGTAGGAAAGAGAATGTTATGATTACGGAGTAACCTCCAAAATCGTAATATCTGTAATAATTTGATCAAAATCCATTCAGTGGGTCTCAAGGTGAAACATGCAGATAGATAGAGACAGACATGACTGACTCATGTGCATTCATTTTGTGCACACTGCACAAAGAACACATAATAATTATAGCATCAAGTTGGAATTAGAGTGCAAGCATATTCTTTCTCACTTCTGTAAACTTCTTTTTAAGATTATTCTGTGCTGCATATTCTAAAATAGCCTGCAGAAATGGTTTGAATTCACCCACAAATCAACCATTTCCTGCTATGGCTATTATGCTCTGTAGTTCAATGTTTCAAACATTGGTACAGCTGCACCAGGAAGATGTGGGTATACACAGCAGTACTCAGTGTGGGTCAGAGTATTCTGTTGTCATAAGCACAGTTGCAGACAGGAAATGTATAATATGAATGTCTGATCAGGGAAATGAGCAATTAACATTCTAACTAGCCTCTTGTTTACATATGCATCATCCACAACTGGGGATGCACTGTAGTAGTCCATTTGAGATGTTCATTCACCATATCTGTTACAATGAGATTATATTACAGTATTTTCTAAATCAGTTATAAAAACATGTTTATAGCAGAATTTGTTACTGGCACTGTCAGATCTTCTTCCTTTATTAGAAATCAGTAGATGCTTGTATAATAAACATAAGCTGAAAATATTATTGTTATGTGCTCTTTGCTCTTTCCCTAAAGCTTCCCACACTTTTAAAATTGGAAAAATTACCTTCTATGTTCAAGATCTCATGCAATTTAAAGAAACTGAACTACAGAGGATTGTAATTTTTGCTGTATGTTTAAATTTTTATTTATAATATGGAACCCAATAATGAACCTGTAACATGTTGCGCGACTGAGA